CCCCCCCCCCCCCCCAATCCCCGCCCCCGCCGCGCAGCCCCGCCCCCTGGCCGCAGCCGACCAACCAGAAGGCAGGAGGCGCGGGCGAACCAATCACAAGTCAGCAATGGGGAGGAGTGAAGCCGCCGCCGGGCCAATCGGCGAACGCTTCGCCTTCCTCGGTTCAAACAGCCCCGGCAGGGAAGTTCTGCGCCTGCGCGGTGGTGGCGGAGAGAGGGGAAACTACAAGTCCCAGCAGCCTCTGCGGCGCAAGACAGGTGCCCGCTTAGGACAAACCTCCGCAAAACTCCGCGTGTGGGCCGGCGTGGCGAGGGGATCTGGGCGCCACAGCGGGGGCTGCGTCCTCCCCATCCGTCCGTCTGTCCGTCCCCTTGTCCTGGCCGTGCAGTTGTGCAACGCAAAGAAATGCAGCCGCTTCCCTGCCTTCGCTTCCTACCTCTGATTTGGCCCGGATGGTTAAAAAAAAAAATAGAATAACTACCATTTTTTGGAAACTTTTGGTCGGTACCCAGAGGGTCCAGAGCCCAAATCAGGGTCCTGGTGCAGCCCCCCAAGACACGGTGCCATCAAACGCCTCGAAAAGAGCGGGAGAGGGATGTGCCCACATCCCAGAGCATCATTTGAGGGATCGAGCATCATTTGGGGATCGAGCATCATTTGGGGGATCTAGCATCGTTTGGGGGATCGAGCATCATTTGCGGGTCACCCCGAACTGCGGGTCACCCCCTCGGCCTCAGCCCTGGCTCGGGGTCCGGACCGTGCCTCGGAGGAGGAGGAGGACGGGGTTTCACCATGGGCAGGCTCATTTCCAGCTCATTTCTCTTAGTTTGCAGCGGTTTCAGGCAGTGGAAACGTGCCTGTTCAATCGGGTTTCTTATTTCCCTCTGTGTTGCGGCCGGGAGAGAAAATCAGGTGTGCATGGGGGTTTCCCCACCGCGCCCACAAAAATGAATAAACAAACCAGTTTTTAATGTCCCGATTTCACTGAAAAATGGAGCCATTTGCTGATATTTTAATTTTACAGAGAGTGACTGGATTTGGTTGCTGTGAATTTCTTGGCAGGGGGGTTTCAGACCATCCCACATTTTGTTCCCACTCCCGTTAAACTCTGCCTGGCCACGTTTCCAAACTAAAATACAATTTCACGAGGTGTCTGGAGATATCTGTGTCCTAAATAAGCCCTTAGCACTGATGGGCCCAGGAAGAAGGACCAGCAAAAGGCAGCTGGGACCATCTCCATCCCAGCAATGAGGGCTACTGTGGTCCCCTGGTGAGAAACCACGCAAGATGTCCACCCTGGTTGCACTTGCATTAGGAATTGCAACCGAATAAAACCCCACAGTGGTCCCACACGTCACCCTGGGACGTCCCAGAGATGGGACCCAGGGCTGCAGCTGGGTGCCGGCCCCGAGGACCAGAGCATCCCGGTCCTCCGGCGTTAATCAGCAAGGCTGGGGAGGTTTCCCCCGTGGCCAACTTCTGCGTGGCCATCACACCCCCTCGAGATGGGTTTTAATAACATCCAGCACTCCCGGTATGAAATAAAACCACAGCATCGGTCTGAAATATTTCCTTGCATCTTAAAAAGAAGGAGCCAGACCCAGGGATGCGGCATCACCCCCCAGGGGCACATCAGCCCCAAATCCTGGCTCCACACGGAGGTGCTCCAGAGAGGATGAGCCCGGTGGGATGTCGGGTACCACCCCATCGCCTTCCCAGCCATGCCCGGCTGCCAGGGAGGGTTTTAATTGCCTTCGCTGGATTTTTATTCTGTTATTATCACGGCAGCATCCTTCAGCTGCCGCGATGTCCCGCAGCGAGGAGCCCGTGGCTCATCCCTCCTCCTCGCCCCTTCCAGCCACCCATCTGCTTGCTGCATTTCGGTATTTTATCCTGGAAAAAAGTAATTTTCTTATTAACTTTTCTGCCCGGGCAGGCTTTTGCAGACCTGTAGCATGTCTGCCCCGAGCTGCCTCTTTTCCCATCTCTTGTGGGGGAAGCACCCCATCCTTCCCACCCCTTGCCCAGCATCGTCCAGAAACCCGCTCCTGCTATTAGGGATAATTGTTATTTTTATATTGGGGTTAAAAAAATAATAAAGCATCAAGAGGACTGGTGGTGTGGGCAGTCTGTCCTTCCTCACCTACGCGGCATCCAGCACCGGCTCCCCTTCGCTCCTGCAAACGCATCGTCCCATGCGTCGGGGTGTTGGGGGGGGAATATTTTAATGGAGCAATCTAAATAAATAAAGATAAAATAAATCAAAGCCCTGAATGTTAAACAGCGGGCCCGCTGGGACAGTTTGGACTCTATTAAAAAGCGCTGCACATTCCTCCGGTGACTCAGAGGTTTTATGCGCTAAAGACGACAGTGATGTAGCAGTTTTTCTTTCACAAAGCACCAAATGCTGGGGTTTGGGGGTTATGTTTTGGTGCATCGCGGTTTAGCGGGTACCAGCCCAGGCTCCTTGCTGGGAGGATGCTGGGACCCACACTGGGAACGATGGGGCAAGCGGAGGGTGCGAGGCTGGTCGGCTGGGCAGCACTGATGAGCGGCAGGAGAGATTTAGTTGCTGCTGAGCAAAGAGATCCCTTATAGTTATTTTTTTTTTATTGATTGCTGAACCTGTTTCATTAAACTTCAAGATCTTTTTCCCCGGCGTGAGCCCGGCCGGCGGCAGCGCGAGCGTTTGGGGCTGCGGAAGGATGGATGCGTGCGGGTGCTTTGGGCTCAGAGCCCTCCTCCGCTCGCTCTCGGATGGGATCATCGGCATCTCAAAACCAAAATCCTGCCCCAACCCCCCCCAGGGCATCTGTGCTGGTATTTCTGGGTTGGTAGCGGCTCCATCTCAGCGCCTATAGACATCGCAGTGTCTATAAGTGATGGCAATCTCCTAGGGAAGCTGATTGCTAATTATCTC